CAGGTCCTCATCCCACCGTTTGCATTAGTCTCCGTGACTGTATCATAGACGACCCCGTGTCGTTAAAGAGGCCGAAAGCAGTCTTGACTGACTGGCCCCTCTGTGCGATGCCGGTTTGTCCTCTGGCCCTGCCTCTTCTGTGTCGTCTTCCTCCCGCTCACCTCGTCCTCTTCTGTCCGTGCCTGCGGTGTGGTGTCTATTAGCTCTTGCATTGCCTTAAGATCCGTATCTTGAAACCCTTTAGCCTGCGCCTCTTTTTGCACGGCCACAGTCTCTCTCATGATTTCCTCGCTCGGCTCCTGTGAAGTCACGCACAACATCTGGACAGTTTTCTCCGGCGGGAATTTATTCTTTCGGATCCGATGGCTTTCGTGCCTTTTGCTAATAACATAACCACGATGGCATCTTGAGTGGTGAGATCCTTCCGCACCGCCACGATGTTCTCTCTCCCCGTCGGGTCTCTCTCAGAGCAGTGACAACGCCTCCCTTACGTTACCGCGTGTGATGAGCCGGAAAGGTCCTTGTGACCCCTGATCTGATCTAGAGCCTGAGTTCGAGACCTTGTGTTTGGGGGCAAGTAGATCACTTCGATGCCTTTGCTGCTGAGCTCGTGGCGCTCTGGAGGCCTGGGGCATAGGTCAACACCAAGAGAACTTTAAGGCAGTCCCTGACGGCAAGGGTATTTCCCAACCTCGGGGATAAAGCGACCATGGAACCAATCCAGAAAAATGGTTCCCGTTGTCCAGGCCTTCTTGCTGGACAACCCAAACCCCGAAAGCTGGTGTTTATCTCTTCCCTTCAGGGCTCAGGGTTAGCAATTTATAGACAAGGCTGTTCTGATCATAAGCCCGACTGCATCAGCACGACACGGTACAGGTAGCCTGTCCCTTCCTGCCTTAAATCCTGGCGCTCACTTCTCTTCCTCACTCATACATGTCCTTCGTGGCATTCTTTTCCAGAATACAGTGCCTTTTTTTTTTATTCTGAGACAGAATCTCACTCTGTTGCCCAGGCTAGAGTGAGTGCCGTGGCATCAGCCTAGCTCACAGCAACCTCAAACTCCTGGCCTCAAGCAATCCTGCTGCCTCAGCCTCCCGAGTAGCACTACAGGCATGCACCACCACGCCCAGCTAATTTTTTGTGTATATATTTTTAGTTGGTCAATTAATTTCTTTCTATTTTAGTAGAGACAGGGTCTTGCTCTTGCTCAGGCTAGTTTCGAACTGCTGACCTGCAGCTATCCTCCCACCTCGGCCTCCCAGAGTGCTAGGATTATAGGTGTGAGCCACGGCGCCTGGCCTCAGAATACAGTGCTTTTGTCTGCATTGAAAACAGTTCAGGCAGATGTCCTTTCTCCTCAATGATTTTCTTAATGGTGTCCGGGAACCTGTCTGCTGCCTCTTGGTCGGCATAGGCTGCTTCTCCTGTTATCTTGACATGTTTTAAGCCAAACCTCTTTGCAGAATTACCAAAGCATAATTAAATTCTGCAGCCGTATACCCTTCATCTTCCTTTTGCTTTAAGACATTATATAATGACTTTGCTTTTTCTTAATTTATATTAGGGTGTGTAGTTATGCTTTCTCATAGCAATCCTGCGCCCACATAAAAACTGCATTTTCAACAGGAGATAAAAGGATATCTCACAAAAAAGGCAACAGTTTCTGGCTCCTGCTGCCACAGCCTCGCGACGCTTTGTGAATTTCCTTTTCTTCTTTTTACAATGGTCTCTGTGCTGGACTCCTTTGTCTTGAAAGGCACAGAACAGCAATTCGGACTCTTCTCGTAATGACATGACTTTTCCTGCTTCTTGGAAGCACTTCCAGCATCACCAGTGGCACTTTGTATGGGTCTCATGGTATGATTAAAGTTCTCTGTATTGCACGGACGTCATGACAAATACACGAGAATCATAAGAGTCTTTGGTTTTTTTTGACAAGACTCGCCACTGTCACCCAGGCTGGGGTGCAGTGGGTGTGATTATAGCTTACTGCAGCCTCAAACTCCTGGCCTCAACAGATCCTCCTGCCCTGACCCCCTAAAGTGCTGGGATTACAAGCATAAGCCACCCTGCCTGGCTGAGAGATCGCTTTTTACAGTGATACAAACTTCCCATAAGCCACCCTGCCTGGCTGAGAGATTGCTACTACAGTGATACAAAACTTCCGGAGGAGGATTATTAGCATCACAGAAGGTCTAAGTGATACTCAGATATCACAACACTGAGCTCACACAATACCAACAAGAGGCGGCTACCAATGATACAGTAGTACCCTGTGTACTACAGGTAATGTTCCACAATAACACAGATGGCCACTTAATTCCACATCTTCCATTTGTTCATATTCCTCTGACTGGGAAGGTACTGAGCACACATTCTGTGTTTGCGCATTTAAGTTTTGATAAGTTTTAACTTTTATAATAGATTAGTGTATATTAAATGGTAGTAAATGATAAAATAGACTGATAGATTGGTATCTATATATATATTATATGCATTCATGACATATCTAACTTTTTCTTAATTTTTTTTGACAGCTATGCTATGCAGTTTGTCTCATTTTTTTCCACTTGTCACAGATCTCCAAAACTTTTTTCCATATATTTATTGAAAAAAATCCTGGCCGAGTGTGGTGGCTCACACCTGTAATCTTAGCACTCTGGGAGGCTGAGGAGGGGGAATGGCTTGAGGTCAGGAGTTCAAGACCAGACTAAGCAAGAGCGAGACCCTGTCTCTACTAAAACATAGAAAAAATTAGCTGGGCATGGTGGCACATGCCTATAATCCCAGCTATTTGGGAGGCTGAGGCAGGAGGATCTCTTGCGCACAGGAGTTTGAGGTTGCTGTGAGCTAGGCTGACGACACGGCACTCTAGCCTGGCAAGACTCTGTCTCAAAAAAAAAAAAAATCCCTATATAAGTAGACAAATGTACTTCAAACTGCTGTTGTTCAAAGGTCAACTGAAACAAGAATATTCCCTAATTTTTTCTCTATAAACATATCATGAATTCCAAGTATTTAAATAAACATTGGCAAGTGTATGAATGTCTTTCTTTTGTAGTGAACCCTCAGTGGTAGCAAAAGTCACACTGATTCCCTCTGGGATAAGAAAATATGGCTAAAGCTCACAAAAGAACCTGAATTCAAATCCTTCCCACATTGACAAAGTCATCCAGCCAGCAAGCCTAGTTTGACTTTGGGTAACACCAGTGTCTGGCCATAGGCACCTGAGTGAGTCCATCAGGGAGAAGAGAGGAAAGAGAATGCTGTGGGGTGCAGAAAGTTCTGCTCATTAAATCCGTTGCTATGGTTTTGTTGCCTGGGTCTGCAAATGTAACCCAAGAACAGGTTTCCAGAAGGACCCCACTGGGGAGCAGGTTCGTGGCTTGGGGACTGGGGCGCAGACAGGAGGCGGCTGAGGCAGGGGTTGAGTGGACAGCCAGCAGGTCCCAGGCCCAGGGTCCCAGATCCAGGGGCAGGCCATTGTCAGCTGTGACAGGGCTGCAGAGCTGGGCCAAGGTCCGGCCACCCACGGCCTGTGGGTGGCAGGGGCAAGGGAGGACAGCAGATGGGGGAGCCCACCCCCAGGGGAAGCCCCCAGTAGCCCCTGCCCCACCCACCCTCCCACTCCAGGTGCCCGGGCCTGCCTGTCCTGTGAGCCCTCGGCCCTGTGCAGCCCCCTCTGCTGGACCCTGAGCTGGCGTCTCCACATCCTGCTAGGTCCATCTCCTGAGGCCCGAGAGGCCCCACACAGAGCCCCCCAGAGAAGGGGAGACGCACTGCCACGCTGACAGCCCACCCCACAGAGGAGAAGGGCTCCCTGAGCCCGCGTGTCCAGAGGAAAGTCCGTGGGAAGCGGCCTTGTCAGTGGGGGACACTGTGCACAGCAGGGCCTGTCTGGAGAGAGGGGGGGAGGCTGGTCGGGGTCACGGCTCTGGGCAAGGGCAGTGGGGAGGGAGAACCCGGCCAGGACAGGTGACTGGGGGAGACCACAGAACCGGTGCTGAGGGGCCAGGCATATGGAGGTGCTGTCAGGGAGCATGACCCTGGGTGGAGCCCTCCTGAGTCTCCCCACAGATAGGACAGAAGGGTCCTCATAGCAGAGGGGCAGAGCCCCTCCCATCTGTCCATGAGGAGTGGGGTCCATCTGAGAACACAGGGGACACCTCTGAGGTTTCCACCTGCACACGGTGATCAGTGGGCCTGAGGGGCAAGGAAACCTGTGCTCAGTGTGGCAGCCAGGGTGGACTGCCCCCAGGAAGTGGACTTTACCTGCATGGGACAGCTGGCCAGGAAAGGGTGGTCTGACAGATGCTAGGACAGGGGTGTCAGTGGACAGGGACAGCCCCACAGGCCCACACGGCCAGCCCCTCTACTGGTAGCTGTGCTGGGTGAAGCAGGAGGACATGAGAGAAGGTGGGGTGACCTGCCACTAGGACTCAGGGGCTGGCCTGGGGCAGGAACCCAACCTCCCCACATTTCTCCAGGGCCTGGAGGTGGGAGGAAAGGGCCCAGGGTGGCCCTCCTGAGCCGGATACATGTTACTGCATCCCTCTGCTCCCTGGAGGGGGGGCCTGGCAGGTCTCTGCACCTCTCTGAGCCTCTATTGTCTCCTCTGGGTCCTGGGGATGGAACTGTCCATGCTCTAGTTTTCAGTCAGCAGACGGATGAGACAGGTGGCCTCAGCACCTATGTGTCCCCTTCCCTTCCTGGGACCTGGCACGAAGCCCCGTCCTGCTCTCAGAGCAGCCCCTCCCCCGCCCCCCGCAGTGCAGGACTGAGGCAGCCCCCTGGATACGCAGCGCCCGGGAGCCAGGGCCAGGCGGCCCTGCGCTGCCCGCTGTGGGGTGCAGGCTCGGCCGTCCGGGAGCCTGACTTCCGGGAGCATGGGCCCTGTGGGGCCATTCTGCAGCGTGTGACACCTGTCCTCCCACCTGTGCCCCGTCCTCCTGCCTTCCAGCTACTTCTACCGAAAGTGACCGAGTGGTGCCAGAGTTTCTTTTCCTCTGTGTCAGCCACAGAGTCCAGGTAGGGCTGGTGTCAGGGTGGGGAATCAAAAGCAAAGCTGCCACAAAACTGGCAGAGAAGTTCCTGTTCTGTGACCCTGATGTGGGTGGCATCCTGGCCTCAGTTTGGGCAGGGGTGGGGCACAGCACCCGAGTCAGCAGCTCTCAGTCACTTCGTGACATCATATATAAGGCTCCCGAGTCCTAAGAGGATCTGGGCGAGGATCACACCGTCACCCCTGTGCCGGTCCCAGAAGCAGGAGGCCTGAGACGGGAAGTGTCACGGGGCAGCACGAGGAGTTCAGCCCAGCACGGAGCCCAGGTACCGCCGGCCCCTCAGAGCATCTCTGCCTCTGAGCCCCTCGCCAGCTCTTGGGAGGGCCCCCTCTCCGCCGTGACCCACAGTGACCCTCCCTCCTCTGCCCTCTCTCGGGGCCTGGCCTCTAGCTCTGGGTCCCAGCCCTGGTGTATGGGTGGCTGGTCCCTGTCCTGTGTGTCCCCCTCCTGGGGCAGGTGTGCGGGGAGCCAGCGCCTCTGGACGACGGGGCCTGCCCGAGTAAGTGAAGACGGTTTCACGGGGGATTCTCCTCACCTGTGCTTAAATGAACCTCGGGCTGGAAAATGCCCAGAGTCACAGACAGAGCCATGAGTCCCCTGGGGAGCTGGAGAAGGAGCTTGAGCAAGGGGGAGGCCTCGATGGTCACCAACCTGGCCGTCCCTGAGGCAGGTCCGTGGTCCCTGGTGTCAGACACTCAGACATGAGCGCTTGGTATGGAAGTTGCAGCGAGGAAACACGGTAAGCCCAGGCAACCTGCAACTTCAACAAAGAGTAACAGCAGTAACCTGGAACGTCACTCACTGAAACATCGCTCAGCGCAGCGCGGACTGTTTTCCTTGGCTACACCCGGCCGCCCCATTCGGCTGCAGGAGCAGCACGTGCGGAGGGCGGGGCAGCAGGACGGGAGGAAAGGCAGCCCGTGAGGGTGGGCTGGGGACACTTCATCCTGACAGGGAGACTCTGAGGTCCACAGTGTCACTGTCATGTCAGCATTGTCCCCACTGGTCCAGGCTGACTGGCAGCTGGGAGCGTAACCTGCAAGGCCCTGCAGGGCCTGGAGCTGAGGTGAGGAGGGAGCATGTGGACCGCTGAGGACAAGGACTGGGGCTGAGGGCACCGTCAGCGTCTGCCACACTCAGGAGGAAGGAAGGAGACAGCCCAGTGCCTGGGGCTGTGACATCCTGCCCTGGCTCTGTCGGGCCCTGGCCACACTCCCAGCCCCCGGGCTCCTGGCCGTGGACCCCTTCCCTTCCTGGGCAGGCCCTGCCGTGCTGCTTAGGGGCTGTTGGGATGACCGTTGTGTCCCTATCTGTCCCCTGCTTCCCTTGGCCTAGAGGGCGCCCAGGACAGACCAGGCCAGAGCAGGAGGGTGCAGGGCTGGGTCCCTCTAGCACGGCCGGCCCCAGCTCCTCTGCAGGAGCACATCGGTATCACACCCTCCTGCCACCACTGTGTCTGAAGAAGACCTGCCCTCTCTGTGTGTCCCTGCTCCTGGTTCCAGTTCATTCCACCTGGCACCTGGAGACAAGTGTCCTGGCCTTTCCTGGCAGGATCGTTCCCTTTGGGTAGGACTCGGACATGGGGCACGGAGGGCCCAGCTCCACGGACCCTCATGTCCGCACGCAGAGCCGGAGGTCCCCACACCGGGGTGGCTCTGAGGCTCGGGTCTGGCTCCTGCAGGGCTCACGTGGGGCTGGGTGGGCTCTGGATCCCTCTCGGCTCTCGGGAAGCACAGGGCTGTGCTCGCAGGAGGGCACAGGGTGTGTTTGTCGACTAGAAAAGCCACCGGGGGTGGAAAGCAAGGGCCTGGGGCCCACATGCCCGGGTTCCCCCGGACCCTCAAGACCAGCGGGGCGATAGCCCGTGAGGGTGCTGTGCTGGCCCCTCGCTCTGTGCCGGGCGCTGTCCTCAGTGCTGCCCCGATCTGTGCTTGCCTGCACAGAAAGAAAGATGTGCACAACTCAAGTTTCAACTGTAGAAAGTAATGCCTGTTTTGGGCTACAGAGCACTTGTCATTTTTTATCAGTGTGACAGTGAAAAGCTAAAGGTTCAGAGCAGAGAGTTCCTGGCATTCTCTTTCCTCTCTTCTCCCTGATGGACTCACTCAGGAGCCTATGGCCCGACACTGGCGTTACCCAAAGTCAACCCTGAGACCCGAGGAAAAGCCCCAGTGGCTCCCCCTGGAGCGGGGGCTGCTGGGCTGGCAGAGCCAGGACAGGGTGGACAGGGAGGTCGGGGGACCAGACCCAGCTATAACCTGGGGAGAGGGGCAGGGGCCTCCCCAGAGCATGCGCGTGCACTGCCCTATCCCAGGGGAGACCCTGCCAAGGCCAAGGCAGCCCCCACATAGGGCAGAGAGGGAGGCCTGGTGACTGCAGCGAGAGAGTGCAGCCCCTCCTCTGACAGCTGCCCCAGCACGTGGGGTGCAGGGAGGGAGGTGGGCTGGAGAGGGAGGGAGTTTGGAGGGAGGGACAAATAGGCTGTGGGGGAGGGGAGAAGATAAAGGGGGGCAGGAGGGAGAAATGTGGGCTACAGGGGAAGAGCTGTGGGTTACAGGGGGAGGGATGAGGGGTACAGAGGGAGGGATGAGGGGTACAGGGATGGGGGTACAGAGGAAGTCATATGAGGTACAAGGGGAGGGATGAGGGGTACAGTGGAGGGATGAGGGGTGGAGGGGAGGGATGACAGGTACAAGAGAGGCAGGGGTAGTCCCAGGAGGAGTCTTCTGTTTATGCGTTTTACCCACTATTGCCACAGACACCTGATGGATCCACACACTTTCAGTTCCTACTTTACAAATGACCCTTCTATCTTTGGGCAACATAAAACCTACCTGTGTCACGAGGTAGAAGTTCTGGAAGGTGACTCCTGGGTCCCACTGGACCACTACAAAGGCTTCCTGCATAACCAGGTGACCACCCCAACCACCTGCATCTAGGGCCTGCATGGGTAGAGGGTTCTAGGGTGTGCTTGTGGTGTCCCAGCGTTTCTATCACTTGTGCTTCCTGTAGCTGCTGTTGCTCTGCCCTGGGATGAGGTAGGTGACTTTGGCTTCAGGTGATGCCCCATGGTTGGTGGCTTCAAGCCCCACATCAGCAACTGGCCACATGTTCCAGGGCCTGGCACCCCTAGCCCAGGGTCACCCCCATGTCCAAGGCTCAGCCACCCCGCAATGCTGTGCTCAGAGGGGGTCAGGGCAGAGGGAAAGGGTCTGCCCCTGGCCAGGTGGTGTCAGTCGGCCCAACGCCCGTGTGGCTGCTGAGGACCCTGCCCAGGACCCCTCATGGAGCAACTTTCACAGGAACACCTGCCGAAGGCTCTAGCCGAGGACACAGGGCTGCCAGGACTTCACAAGGCAAAGATTCCCGGAGGCTGCCCCTTCACCTGACCCTGTGGAATGGAGGCCCAGGGGGGACAGGGTGGGAGAGGCCATCCTGAGACTCTGTCCTGACCAACGCAGGGCCCACAGGAAGTCCGAAGAGGCCAGGTCAGGATGCCACGGGTGGCCAAGCATCTGGGGAGGAGCAGGGACTGGCCAGGCCCTGTCACACCTGTTGTCCCATCTGCTCTGGTATCCTCGGCATGACTGGGTCCCGGTCCCTGGTGGAGCTTCCTTCACTGCAGTGTGGGCGGGTCTCTGTGATTGCATTGGCCACATCAGTGAAAATCATCCCATGACCAAGGACTCACCCCTGGGCCGTCTCCTGCTGGGGCTATTGTCCCCTCTCATTCTGCACAGGGAACCCTTTTGGTCTGAGTCTGTGTCCCCCTTGGGCTCAACACAGGTGAATCACAGTGTAGAAGCTTCTAGAATGATTGCTGCACATGTGGAGATGGAGCCGGGAATAGATAGATAAGGGATCAATCCCCCCAGGAAGGAAGCACAGCCAGCTCAGGGGCATCAGACCAATGACCTTGGGGTTCAGCTGGCCCCTCTTTCCTCCCCCAGCTCTGCAGCCCCTCCCTGCACAGCCAAGCCTGGGGTCCCCAAGGCTCTGACCTCGGGTGCCAAATTTGAGGGTGCTCAAAAGCCTCAGTTATCAGAGAAATCACATCTTAATCAAAGACTGAAATATTTAATGCAATTTAAAATCAAATTTAATCCCAAAGCTATAAGATGAACAAAATGTTAACATTTTAAATAAAGACAGGTAGTGACAGGGCTATGTGGAATTGCAGAATGTATCTGAGTTGAGAACAAAGAGAAAGTCATCACTCCTGGTCTGTCTGTGGACATTTGTTGACATTTGTTCATCTTTGAATTTTTGCATTAATTGGATATTGAAACATTGCAGAAAAATTCATTCATCTTGATAACTGAGGTTTGGGTGCCCCCATCATTTTATGTGGAAGGCCCCTGTTCCCCAGCCTCACCCTGGTTCCGGCTCTGTCCCTGCCCACAGGTGAGCACACTCTGCTTTCCTTTCCAGCCCCGGGATATGCCCAGTGGCTATGGGGGCCGCCACGCAGAGATGTGCTTCCTGGACCAGGTTGGTTCCTGGCGGCTGGACCCAGCCAAGCACTACAGGGTCACCTGCTTCGTATCCTGGAGCCCCTGTTTCACCTGTGCCCACCAGGTGGCCAAGTTCCTAAGCAGGAGCAGCCACGTGAGCCTGCGGGTCCTGGCTGCCCGCATCTATGATCTCTTCTCTGGATATGAGGAGGGGCTGAGCACCCTATGGGGGGCTGGCGCCCAAATCGCCATCATGACCTCTGCAGGTCAGCAGGAATCTTATGTGTGGGGGGTTGACATGGAGGGGGCCCTGGGAAGGTGCCTGAAAGTGGGGAAGGGTCAGTGTCCCTGTGGAAGGCCCTGGTCTGCTGCCTGCAGAGGTGCTGGCTGCACGCTGGGACCCACCGTGGGGCCTATTGGAAGAGGGTCCAGCCCAGGAGAGGTGGTCCAGGAGGGGATGGAGAGAGGGAGGCTAGGAGTGGAAGCAGGCCTTGGGGCTTCCAGAAAGAATCTGGACTGGGCTGGGTCAGAGTCAAGAGGAAGAAACAGTGTGACAAAGAAGCTAAGTTCCCAGGGGACGATGACAGAGGAGGGGACAGAAAGACCATGTGCAAAGTCTGTCCCTAGAGTCATCCACCCTGGTTGCCCCTCCCCACCCACAACAGGGGCTTGACATGTCTCCCCTGTCCCTCTCAGACTTTGAGCACTGCTGGGACACCTTTGTGGACCACCAGGGAAGGCCCTTCCAGCCCTGGCAGGGGCTGGATGAGCACAGCCACTCCCTGAAGAATAGGCTGCGGGACATTCTCCAGGTGGGGCCACCCTCTGGCCGGTGCCACGGCTGCCTCCTGCCCCCTCTATCCCTGGCCCTTCCCTGCCCTCTGCTCAGAGCCTCCTGGGGTTCCCACCTCCCAGGGGTGTCCAGCTCCACCCCTCCGTCCCCTTCTCACAACCTCCCTCTGCTCTCTCCCCTCCTGGGTGCCCCCTTCCTCTTCTGTCCTTGTCACTGTCCCCAGATTCCTGTCTGTGTCGTCTCTCTGACTCTCACTCCTGCTCTGTTCAATCTCCCCTGCAATTCCAGCCTTAGGCAGCTGGCAGGACCATGTGCTGAGCAGGAGGATGAGGCACCTTCTTTCAGGACACATAAAGGGACAGCCACGGAGATCTGCAGATGACCCATAGAGACCAGCAAAAGCGACGAGCTCACAAGAAATGCATTTTTTAAAAAATCAGAATTCATTAATTCTTACTTGAAAATTGACCTCATGCTTCAAGTATGCAGTGTCCCATAGCCTCAGCACTCTCACATGGCTTGGCAACGTGCTGATGAAATGATTACTTTTGCTACTTTCATATCTAGACCAATAGACAATGTGTTAGTTATCTTCCATAGTTTGTTTCCTCTGTACCTGTATCATGAATTCCAAGATTTTAAATAAACGCTACAAGTCTGTAAATGTCTTTCCTTACAGCAGTGGAGCCTCATGTGGGGCAAAGATCATAGTATTTCCCTCTGGGAAGAGAAACCTCTAAAGCTTCCAGGACAGGAATCTGCGTTCAAACCCTACCTGCCTTGACAAAGTCATGCTGCCGGCCAGCCCTCTTTCACAGGGACAAGGCCTGCAGTGGTTACAGAGGAAGCACAGTCTCCTCACTGGGCGGGAGCCACACATGTGCAGTCTGGAGTGGGGGGTGTTCCAGGGGTCTCCCGTCCCCACATCCCCCTGATTCCACCCCCTAGAGAGGAAGTGGGAGGAGCCCATGGCTGAGACCCAGGACGGGGCCAGTCAGGAGGAAGGAGCCCAGGGACAGTCCAGGTCTAGGACAGGGGTGGGGGACACTGCAGCCCTGGGAGACCCAGCTCAGCCCCAGTGGGGAGGGGAGCTCAGCCCGGGGCAGGAGGTCAGGGCCAGAGACAGACCCCGGGGCCAGGGCAACAGGGGTCAGGGCTGTGGCTAGGCTGTGTCTGTCCCGCCCTGGGTACTGGTTCCTGCCTCTGTGACGTGTGGCTTATTTGCTTGATGACACCAGGCGCCTGCCACCTCAGGATGTCCTGTGGCACCTCAGGAGCCACATATGTGACTAAGAACAGGGCTCACAGGCAGGTGTTCCTGGTTAGAAAGGGTGCACTGGTCCCCTGGCCCAGAGATACAGACACACAAACAGATATACACAGACACATACACACACACTAACACACATATACACACAGACACACACATACAAACTGACAAAAGAGAAAGGAAATTTATATGGGATACCCCAGAAACATACACACCCCCAGGGCCACCGTGCCTATGCCGGAAAGAGGGGGTCTCATCACTGCACGTGGGGGATTGCAGGGAGGACTTCGTCATTACCCCGCACGATTCGGTTTTGATTTCAGGCTCTGACAGCAGCCCGGCCCCGTCCCAGATGTGATTGACCAAAACCCACAAGACGTCACTCTGGGCAATGGGCCAAGCTGGGAGAGGCCAGAACACGGCACCCTGGTGGGAGAGACCACTCTGTGCTGCCCCAGGTCAGGGTCCTGGTGGCTCTGTTCTTGTCCTCCCAGGGCCCTGTCTCCCTCCCCCTCCCCCCAGATCCCTCAGCTCCCTGAGCCTCACCTCAGAGTATTGTCTCCGACTGGGGGCCCTACGGGTCTGGGGGAGGGACTGGACACGGCCCCTGGTACCCTGCTGAGACCCTGGCTGGCACTGGCAGCCTGTCGTCCTTCCCAGCTCTAGGCTGGGCAGGGCGCCCATCATGGTGGCAGAGCTGGGACCGAGTGCAGAGCAGCTGGACTGCAGACCCGTGCAGAGCATCGGCCCCAGGGTGACACAGGCTGAGCGGACCAGCAGCCTCCCAGGGTCCCTGTGCCCTGGTCTGTCCCTCTGACCAGTCTGGACTCCTGCTGGGCACTCATCCTGTCCCCACTGCTCCTCACAGGGGACCAGGGCACACCCTGCCCACACCCTGGGTCCTGCACAGGGAACCGGGACCCACAGGGCCCCTGGTTGGGGGCGAGGCTCTGCAAAGAGGCCCTGGGGAGACGGGGAAGGGGACGAGGGTTGGGAGATGGGGTCCTCGAGGACGACAGGGTCTACCTGGGACCTGCCCAGGACAGCACAGAGTGGTGTCTTTCTCCAGGACAGGGTCCTCAGTCTTCCTCCAGCTTGGCCCCTTTGCCCAGAGTGACTACATCTTGTGGCCTTTTGGTCACCTGCTTTTAGGGTGGGGGTGGGGCTGCCGTCAGAGCCCAGGAATCCAGACCAAGGGACCAGGCTTGATGTCCAGGTTCTCCCCTCCCCACCCCATGTCAAATGCTGAGGTAGGTGTCGGGGTGTCTGGATTAGCCCCTGGAAGGTTCTTTTTTCTCATGCAACTGTGTGATGTGCATGTGTGTGTTAGTATGTGCATATGTATGTATGTGTGTGCATTGTGCATGTATGTGTATGTGTGTTAGTGTGTGTGTCTGTGCCAGGGGACCAGTGCGCCCTTTCTACCCAGGAACACCTACCCATGAGGCCCATTCTTAGTCACATATGTGGCTCCTGAGGTGCCACAGGACATCCTGAGGTGGCAGGCGCCTGCTGTCATCAAGCAAATAAGCCACATGTCACAGAGGCAGGAACCAGTGCCCAGGGCGGGACAGACACAGCCGAGCCACAGCACTGACACCTGCTGCCCTGGCCCCTGGATCTGTCTCTGGCCCTGACCTCCTGCCCCGGGCTGAGCTCCCTGGGGCTGAGCTGGGCCTCCCAGGGCTGCTGTGTCCCCCTGCCCCTGTCCTAGACCTGGACTGTCCCTGGGCACCTTCCCCCTGACTGGCCCTGTCCTGGGTCTCTTCCATGGGCTGTCTGGGCCCCCAATGCTTCCTGTCCCTCCTAAGCCCCAGGTCCCTGCTGCAGGTGACGTGGGCTAGCATTAGCCGGTAGACGGATGTGTTATTTTGGGCGGGGCAGGGAGGAGGGCAGCAGGGCAGGAGTCAGAGCCGGGTTCTGACAGCACTGGTGGTTTAAAAACAATTTCTGTGCAGCAGACGACACCACACAGGGAGCACCGGGGCCTAGAGGGACCCTTGGCCCAGCAGAGGGACCGGCTGGTGGAAATGAGCATGGGGCCTGGCTGGGAGTCCCCTCTGTGCAGTCCAGGGGTGGAAACAGGCTCCTGATGCCCCACCCAGATGCTGACATCCCTGCGTGACCCACGACACGCACACTGAGCACCCACGTGTGCACAGCAGAGGCAGCTCACCGAGCTGAGGCTGGTCCCAGGAGGAGCGGTGTCCCGAGAGCAGGGCCCAGAGCTGTCAGGGACAGGGGCCAGCCCTGATCTCCAGGGACAGAGTCAGGATGTCAGGGACAGAAATGGCCCCTGGAGGCTTTCCTCAGGGGACTTGGGGACGGGGTGGGGGGCAGACCGGTCTGGGGAGGCAAGGACGCCAGACGTGTGGAGATGGGGCTAGGAGAAGGCTTTTCCTCTCCGAGGATCCGTGTCTCCCTGCCCCTCTGCTGGCCCACAGCAGGCCGGGAGCAGACGGGACTGGTAAAGTGCATAATGTCAGCGCACTAATTGTCGAGTGTTTATACTGAGGTCACCTGTTAATACGTGGCGAAGTTGGGGTCCCGCCCCATAGAGCACGTGATGGCAGGCTCTGGGAGCCAGGCCTGAAGCAGCAGGACTCTGACCTGGAAAATGGGGGAGGGGTGTACAGGAGGGGGAAGAGGGACCCCACTGTGTGGCCTCAGCACAGCGGGGTACCCTCGTTTCTCTGATTCCTGGGCTTAGATGAGGCAGGACATGCCACACCCGTCTCTAGGCCCCAGCTGGGCCCCTGGGTGGTTGATGACAGCAGGCGGCTCCCACAGGATGTCCTGTGAGACCTCAGGAGCCACATATGAGACGGAGAACAGGCCTTGCTGCAGCTGTTCCTGGGCTAACAGGCTGAACCACTTCCCGGGGCCAATACGCGGACACACAGGCACACACAGGCACACTCTCACAGTGGCACGAGAAGAGGAACCCTCCGCGGGACACCCCAGGCACACCCAGATATCAACTTCAGCCCTGTCCAAATCAGAGCATTTCGGCCACTGTCCTGTGGGGGGACTCATTGTCCATCCTGACCCTTTGGTTTTGATTTCTGCATTCTAGCAACAGTCCCACCTCGAAATGAGTCACCAAAAAATGTGGTCACTCTGGGCGAAGAGGCCAATCTGGGAGAGGACAGAGGACGTCAGCTGGGAGAACAGTGCTCTGCGCTGTCCTGGGGCAGGTCCCTGCCACCCTTCCACGCCCTGGGCCCTGCAGGGCAGGCACCAACAGAACACTCTTGCCCTCACACGCCTCCACTCCCCAGGACTGGAAGGCCCCTGGGACACTGCTGAAACCCCGGCGGGGCACTGGCAGCTGTGGTCACCCGGGCTCTGGGGTGGGTAGGGCTACAGGGGGCAAATGTGAGCGCACTTTCTTCATGCTGCAGTGCAGCCTGTTTTCCGTCAGTGGGTGGGAGTTTGACAAGGAAGCTCCATTAGCAGATGACACCCACAGTAGTGGCAGAGCTGGGACCTTGTATAGGGCAGCATGGACTCCAGACCTGTGCAGAACATCCATTCTTACCCCAGGGTGACCCAGGATGAGCGGACCAGCGTCCTCCCCAGGGTCCCTCTGCCCCAGTCTGTCCTTCTGACCCCGTCTGGATCCCTGCTGGGCACCTGTCCCACCCCCAGTTTTCCTTACAGGGGACCAGGGCAAATCTCGGGCACAGCCCGCACCTGCTGAAGACGAGATTCTCCCTAAACCACCCTGGACTCCCACACGGAAGCCGTGGGTCCTCCCATTTCCCAAGCTTCGGTGGGAACTCCAGCGGACGCAGGGATTTTTCACTCAATGATCCAGAGGCGGGAATGGGAGGAGGGCTGTCATTCCCCAGGAACGGATGGGATTCCCGTCACCCTTACTTAAAAGTGTCTCCAGGATACACCGTTTTTAAACAATCTTCTCTATGAATTGGTTTCCAATGCTACTTTTCAATCCAGATCTTGGACCCCAGGCTCTGTTTATGCTTTCATGGGCAATAGTGTTTAGCTTTGTGGCACAGTGCTCTGGGAAAAGGGGGAATTTTTAGCAGGGAATCTCGCCACCCACTCCCCCCACCCCCAAAAATAAACTAAAACAAGCAATCAGGACCCAGCAACACGGCTGAATGACGGCCAGCCAGGCCGTCAAGTTGCTGGTAGCACCAAGCTGTCAAGCTGCCTGACACCCACCTCTCTCCCTGCACCCAAGGGCTGCTCCAGCCCCTCAGCCCAGGAAGCCCTGGGGGTCCCAGAGGGGCAGGCGGTGCTGCGCTTTGGGTTCCCGCAGGCAGAGGACGAGCTGCTGGGGAAGGACGAGCCTGCTGCACCTGAGAGCCAGCCCCGTGGCCTCCCTCCAGGGTGGTGTCTGTGCCCCTCCGCTGCCCTCTCTGGCCCTCTCCACCCCAGGAGGCTCTGCTTCCAGCCAGCCATCTGGGCCAGGGGTGGAGAAGGCTGCATTGTCAGAGTCTGAAAACGTCACCCCCAAACCCACTTGACAGCAGGCAGAGCTGCCCGGGTGGGGGTGTGGGCTGGGTAGGCCACAACCTGGCCCCTTTCTGACACCCCCAGGTGGTTTCCGTGTCACATCCCCTCCACCAGGGCCCTGACACTGCAAGAGGGCCGGAAGTGGCATTGCCTGCCGGGGTTCCTGACACTACATAAGGCTGCAAGTGTCTGGAGGCCCCCACGGCGAGATAGCACCTGAGCGCGCGGGAAGGAGCAGGTGGAGGCCGAGCTGCAGGGAAGGGTAAGAGGGAAGCCACCCGCAGGCCTGGGCACCCTGCCCCTCGCAGCTCCTCCGCTCCAGAGCCCATCAGCCTCCCTGACCGGCCCCTCCTCCCCTTGCGGCTCCTCCTGGGACTGCAAAGGGCAACCCTTCTCCTCAGCCTCCCTCCTGGGGCCTTGTTCGTTCGTGTCCAGTCATGACAGGTCCAGCTCAACTGCCCCTGGCATCCGGGGCAGGACTCCGCCGAGTTGGTCGTGCTCGATGGTCACTTCCCTCCCTTCTGTCCAATCTGTCTTGAGGACCTGAGATTTCTGATGCACAAACACCTCTGAGTGGGAGGTCAGGGTTCGCCTTCAGCTTTGTGACTTTTGTTTTTGTAAGGACAAGTATTACTTGGACCGGATGAGAAAATGCTCAGGACTTATCTGATAAGAAGGTCCCTGGCATTCTCTTCTCCCTGATGGACCCACTCAGGAGCCTCTTGGCCCGATGCTGGTGTGGCCCGAGTCAACCCTGAGATAGGACAAAAAGCCCCAGCGACTCCCCCTGGAGCAGGGGCTGCGGGGCTGGCAGAGCCAGGACAGGATGAACAGGGGACCAGACCCAGCCCTAACCTGGGGAGAGGGAGGAGGCCCTACCCAGAGCATCCGAGCGCCCTGCCCTGTCCCAGGGGAGACCCTGCCAAGGCCAAGGCAGTCCCCACATGGGGCAGCGAGTGAGTGCAGCCCCTCCTCTGACAGCTGCCCCAGCATGTGGGGTGCAGGGGAGGGACGTGGGCTGGAGAGGGAGGGAGTGTGGAGGGAGGGACAAATAGGCTGTGGGCGAGGGGCGAGGATAAAGGGGGACACGAGGGAGAAATGTGCACTATGGAGGAAGGGATGTGGGGTGCAGGGATGCAGGATACAGGGGAAGGGATGTGGGGAACAAGGATGTGAGGTACAGGGGAGGGATGAGGGGTAGTCCCAGAAGGAGTCTCTGTCTATGCTTTTTACCCACTGTTGTCCACAGACACCTGATGGATCCACACATATTCTCTCACACCTTTACAAATGACCCTTCAGTCTCTGGGCAGCGTCAGACCTACCTATGTCACGAGGTAGAAGTTCTGGAAGGTGACTCCTGGGTCCCACTGGACCACTACAAAGGCTTCCTGCGTAACCAGGTGACCACCCCAACCACCTGCATCCAGGGCCTGCATGGGGAGAGGGTTCTAGGGTGTGCTTGTGGTGTCCCAGCGTTTCTGTCACCTGTGCTTCCTGCAGCTGCTGTTACTCTGCCCTGGGATGAGGTAGGTGACTTCAGCTTCAGGTGATGCCCCATGGTTGGTGGCTTCAAGCCCCACATCAGTAACTGGCCACATGTTCCAGGGCCTGGCACCCCTAGCCCAGGGTCACCCCCATGGTCAGGGCTCAGCCACCCCACAATGCTGTGCTCAGAGGGGGTCAGGGCAGAGGGAAAGGGTCTGCCCCAGGCCAGGTGGTGTCACTCGGCCCAACGTCCATGTGGCTGCCGAGGACCCTGCCCAGGACCCCTCATGGAGCAGCTTTCACAGGAACACCTGCCGAAGGCTCCAGCCGAGAACTTAGGGCCATCCAGACTTCACCAGGCCAAGATCCCCAGTGTCTGCCCTGACCCTGGGGAGAGAGACCCAGGGGGGACAGGGTGGGAGAGGCCATCCTGAGACTCTGTCCTGACCAGGGCAGGGCCCACATGAAAGCCAGGAGAACAGGCCAGGTCAGGATGCCAGGGGTGGCCAAGCATCTGGGGAGGAGCAGGGACTGGCCAGGCCCTGTCACACCTGCTGTCCTGTCTGCTCTGGTGTCCTTGGCATGACTGGGTCCTGGTCCCTGGTGGAGCTTCCTTCACTGTAGTGTGGGCGGGTCTCTGTGATTGCACTGGCCCCAGCAGTGACAATCATCCCATGACCAAGGACTCACCCCTGGGCCATCTGCTGAAACCTGTTGTCCCCACTCATTCTGCACAGGGAGCCTTTTTGGTCTGAGTCTGTGTCCCCCTTGGGCTCAGCACAGGTGAATCACAGAGTAGAAGCTTCTAGAATGATTGCTGCACATGTGGAGATGGAGCCGGGAATAGATAGATAAGGGATCAATCCCCCCAGGAAGGAAGCACAGCCAGCTCAGGGGCATCAGGACAATGACCTTGGGGCTCAGCTGGCCCCTCTTTCCCCTAGCCTCACCCTGGTCCAGGCCCCGTCCCTGTCCACAGTGACCACACTCTACTTTCCTTTCCAGCCTCAGGATAGACGCAATGGCTGTCCAGGCCGCCACGCAGAGATGTGCTTCCTGGACCAGGTTGGTTCCTGGCAGCTGGACCCAGCCAAGTGCTACAGGGTCACCTGCTTCATCTCCTGGAGCCCCTGTCCCAGCTGTGCCCAGGAGGTGGCCAGGTTCCTGCAGAACAACAGCCACGTGAGCCTGTGGATCTGTATTGCCCGCTTCTATGATTTCGGTGGTAAACACGAAAGGCCGCTGCGCACACTGCACGAGGCTGGGGCCCAACTCGCCATCATGATCTCTGCAGGTCAGCAGGAGCCTTGGGAGGGGCAGCAGGGAGGGGGCCCTGAGAAGGTGCCAGAAAGCAGGAGGCCCTGGTCTGCTGCCTGCAGAGGTGCTGGCTGCACGCTGGGACCCACCGTGGGGCCTATTGGAAGAGGGTCCAGCCCAGGAGAGGTGGTCCCGGGAGAGGATGGAAGGAGGGAGGGTAGGATGGAAGCAGGATTTGGGGCTTCCAGAAAGAGTGAGGCCCTGGCTGGGTCAGAGTCAAGGGGGAGAAACTGTGAGGAAGAAGCGAAGTCCCCAGGGAAGGGATGACAGAGGAAGGGACAGAAGGACCACGTGCAAAGTCTGTCCCTAGAGTCATCCACCCTGGTTGCCACCCCTCACCACAGCAGGGGCTTGACATGTCTCCCCTGTCCCTCTCAGACTTTGAGCACTGCTGGGACACCTTTGTGGACCACCAGGGAAGGCCCTTCCAGCCCTGGCAGGGGCTGGGTAAGCACAGCCGAATCCTGAGGAGAAAGCTGCGGGACATTCTCCAGGTGGGGCCACCGTCTGGCCGGTGCCACGGCTGCCTCCTGCCCCCTCTCTCCCTGGCCCTTCCCTGCCCTCTGCTCAGAGCCTCCTGGGTACCCGCTCCCCCCAGGGGCGTCCAGCTCCTCCCCTCCCTCCCCTTCTCACAACCTCCCTCTGCTCTCTCCCCTCCTGGGTGCCCCCTTCCTCTGCCTGTCCTTGTCACTGTCCCCAGACTCCTGTCTGTGTCATCTCCTGACTCACTCCTGCTCCGTTCCATCTCTCCTGCGCTTCCAGCCTCAGGAGCACTGAGGGCGGCAGCGTCTCCACAGCCTCAGACCCTGTGCGGAGCGGCAGGATGAGGCTCCCTCTTTCAGGACAGCAAAGGGACAGTCACCGCAATCTGCAGGTGACCTACAGACACCAGCAAAGGCGATGAGCTCACAAGAAATGCATTTTTAAAAGACAAATTAGAACTGAATTGCTTTCAATTGAAAATGTATCTTATCTTTCAAGCATACAGTAGAAAGATTATGTTCAATATATCAGAATGGTTTCAATTTAATAACAAAATGATCATTTTAATGGGTATAAATACAGATGAATAAAAAGAAATATTAAGAATCTTCCACAATTTTTTTTTTGCTCTATAGGTATGTCATGAATTTCAAATGGATCAAAAACACTTGCAACCCTCCAAATGCCTTTCTTTTTCTAGTGATCCTTCATGTGGGACAAGGGTCACACTCATTTATTTAGGATGAGTAAGACTCAGCTATATGTTACAGGAGAAGAATCTGAGTTTAAACCCTACTCGCACTGACACAGTCTCATCCTGCTAGTCAGCCCTGCTCGGAGGGGACAGGCCGGGCCCTGGAGAGAGGTGGCAGGGAGTCTCCATCCGAGCAAAGTCCTCAAATGTGCAGTGTCGCGTCCCCACGCCTTCCCGAGCCCACCCTAGCCCTAGAGAGGGAGCGGAGCGGGCAGGGGCCGTCCCGAGGGAGGCTGGGCTGTGGGGCGCAGGGTCCTGTCCCGCCTGTCTCTGCCGCAGCTCAGTGCAGCCTCCCGGCCGCGGGTCCTCCTGGACGACGGAGTGTCCGGAGGGGACGGCCTTCACAGCGTGGCCTCAGCCAACTTGTCCTCACACCTCGGGGGCCAACACTGGGCCACAACCGCGACGGCGACTGTAAGGGGTAGGGAGGAGTCACACAGTGGGCCCCACTTCAGGGCACCAGAGGGCAGGAGGGAGGCCGGAAGGCTCTGCAAGGTGGAAGGGAAATGCTAATAGACTGAAAACACGGGAGAGGGAAGGAGAGGAGAAGAGGAGAGAGAGGAGGGCACAGCAGGAGCGTGGGAACAGAGGGGCGGCCAGGACCAGCAAGGCTGCCTGAGGGCTTGGGAGCGGGCCGGGTCATCTCTCAGAACAGGACCTGGCCACCCAGGGACACTGTCAGGACCCCGGCCCTGCCCCCCACCCTCAGCTCTCCTGCTGGTCACCTGGTGGCCCCTGAGGGACAGCTGCCCAGCTCCAGGGTTGGCCTCATGCCAGGGAGGAGGCGCATCGGGGCAGGCTCCAGACCTCACAGCGCACATCCTCCGCCCGGGCAGAATCTTGTTCTACTCTCACCACACCACTGGGCAGACAGCCATTGTTACCCACAGCTTCAGAAGAGGACACTGAGGCCCAGAAAGGGGACGCCTCTGGCCGAGGACACACCGCAGGAAACGGCAGTGGGCCCGGCAGTCCCCCTCTCCCACCTCTGGGGACGTCCAGTGTGGTCGCTGGGCCCTCTGCCCCCTTTGTGCAGCTTGGTGGACAGATGTCCCTCTGGCAGGCCCAGAGTCTCCCTCCTGGGCTCTGTCCACCCTGTCACTGAGTTCCTGGGTGATGCCTTCCCCTCAGCAAGAACATTCTGGGCAGGATGGCATCGTCCCTGAGTCATCAGCACCAGGCACCAAGTTCGTGTGCATTGAGCGAATGAGCGAGCGAGTGGCGCAGTGAGGGAGAGTCTCAGAGCGGCAGGAGTTCCTGGTCCCACTGCTGGGCTCTGGGGACATCCAGAGCTCGGGTGAAAGATGCCCACTTCTCCCTCGCACGTAGTGTCACGTGGGAGTTCCGTGGCAGCACGTGGGGACTTCCCTTCAGCAGGCCAATCAGGGTCCCAGCCCCTGGGAGGCCTGTGCATGCAGGGGTGGAAGGGGAAGGAGAGGGGGACCCCACCGGCTTCTCACCATCACTTCCTCTGGCAAGAGCAGGTGCAAAGGCTTGGGAATGTTGGGAAACAGAGTCCAAGCGTGGTGAATCTCTCCAGAACCACCCTGGCAGTGGAAGGCGAACAGCTGGCCAGCCACCCTGCCCTGCAGGTGAACCCAGCCGACGCAGGCCTTATTCAACAGCAATTGGGAGCATTCCTCCTCCAGGAAGCCCTCCTTGAATTCTCCCAGACCAGGCAGTTCCATCCCAACAGTGCCCAGGGTGTTCCTTTTGCCCCTGATGAGCTGCACATTTTGAAGCTATCTCCCATTTGACTAAAATCGCTCCTCCTTTTTGGTTTTGAATTCCTAGCCCCTAGTGTGGCCCCTGTCACATCGTCAGTGCTCACTGGACACTTAGGGAAAAGGCAGTGAAACAACGAATAGGCACCAACCCCGTCCGCAATAGACTGAAAGTCCAGCTTCATCTGTGGGTTCCAAGGAAACCACCACACAGTGAGGAGAATGTGGAGGGCGTGGGGGTCTTGCAGGTGGGGCATTTCTCACGGCCTGGCTGGGACAGGGCAGTCCGGGAAGGGTTCCCTGAGGAGGCGGTCCCTGAAATGGATCCTAAGGGCAGGTAGGCACCCGCCGGGCTGGAGGGCTGTGGGTGGCAGTGACAGTCATAACACAAGGGGTTGCATGTGCAGAGGCACCTGAGTACACAACAGTGACCGTGTCACTGTGAATTTTGTTCAGCGAAGAGGCCCACAGCTATGCGGACAGACAGGCACAGGCTGGGGCACGTATGCACAACCCCTGTGACCTCCGGAGATCGCTCTCCCCGCAGAGAGGTGCTCTGCACCCACATGCTCTGGCAGAGTCACAGAGGAACCAGGGGCCAAAGGGCCATGTCCCGACATGCTTCATGAATCGTCCCACGCAGGTCTCCTGCTCTGATGCAGAATCTGCTTCTTCCACGAGCCCTCCAGTCACAGGAGGGGGAGGAGGAGGGTCAAAGGCAGCCCCTCAAACTTGATGAGATGAGATCCCACACCTTCCAGCCTCAGAGATGCTTCCATTCCTCCTGGCCTTCTAGATCTTTCCACCCTGCTCTGGGACTTTCTTTTTTCCAACTCCATTTACTCCGCCTACGAGCCAGATATAGGCTGCATGGCCCTTTACTTCCTGGCAGTCGACCTGAACTCACTGACTCCACCACCTGAAGTTCTCCCGGGAATTGTTCGTCCTGCTGTTTGCCACCCTCAGGATCTCTGTCCTCAACTGCAGTGTCTCTGCATAACCTGCTTTGGTCTTTGCCTCAAACCCAGACAGAAAACTCAGCCCGCTTCAAGATGCCCCAAATCTCGTATCAAGAAAGCAAGCTCTATGGCTCACTCACAGTTTTGAAGTGGCTGGACATGGTGGCTCACACCTGCAATCCCAGCACTTTGGAAGGCCAAGGTGGGAGGATCGCTTGAGGCGAGACCAGTCTGGGCAACCCAGTAAGACTCCAACTCTACATAAAATAAGAAAAATCAGCCGGGCATGGTGGCACCTGCCTGTAGGCCCAGCTGCTCAGGAGATTGAGGCAAGAAGGATCACTTGAGCCCAAGAGTTCAAGGCTGCAGTGAGCTATGATGATGCCACTGCACTCCAGCCTGGGTGACAGAGCAAGAGCTTGCCTCTTAAAAAAATAAACAAGATTCTGTGGTGGGGACAGGAAGGAGGGTGCAGCACAGCACTCCCCGAGTTAAAATCTCCCTATTCCTTCCTGTTCACCCCAAGCCCTTCTTGGGCTGCTGTGGCCCTGGGCCTTGCAACTGTGCCCCACCACGCAGGCCCCTCCCTGCCTCCCTCAGCCCTCCACCCTTGCCCTGGCATTGTATTGCCCTCTGCTCTACTGTACAGAACAACTCGCCTCTCCCAAGTTCCTGCTCAAACCTTCACCCCAAATCCATCGCATCTGGGGAGCGGGAGAGGCTTCATCTCACACGTGCTCCAAGCTCCCAGAACGGCAGCGGGGGACATGCTCAGTATCTTCTGTCTCTATCGAATCACACCTATGACCACCTTGACTTTGAAGCACGCTTGATTTTCCCTATCTACCTTTTAACTCTTCATCAAAATCCTAGTGACCTCTCAAAACTTATTTTTTTATTTTAAAATCATATACTTTATGAAACAATTCTAATTTTCATAACAAAACAGCAAGTCTGGATCAAGAAGTGCTATCGATACCTGAATGGGGGACAGGACGGACGGCGCAGCCCAGCACCCCCTCTCGGGAGGTTTCTTCTTTCTTTTTGTCCATAGATTGTTTACTGAGCATCAGCGCCTCTCAAGCAGGCTCTTACCCTTTACAATCTTCTTGCAATGAAGGTCAACATCGTGGTCCCCTCGCTATAGGTGGAGGCTCTTGCGCAAAGACACAGCCAGGAAGAGGTAGAGGCCAGGCTCTGGTCCAGGTCTCCAAAGCCTGCTGAGGACAGGCTATCCTGACAGACAGAGCAAACGGGAGGGAGTCAGCAGAGGGTAGAGGTGGCACCGAATGTTCTGGGCCTGGAGACGGAGGTTAGAGGAGCCTGAGTTGGTCACACTTGGGAGGCAGCAGCAGAGAGGGGAGAGTGGAGGCTGCAGACAGGACAGGGACCCAGAGGGAAGGAGCCCAGAGGAGGAGCTGAGAAGTGAGATGGCTTTCAGGGAGGACAAAACACAGAAGGCAGCTGCCCTGGAGCCAGGTGCCGGGAAGGGGCTCTGGTGGCCTGGCCTCACCTCGAGCTGCCCCTGCTTTCTTTCCTCACCACAGGCGCCTCCGTTTCCTGTTTCCTGGGCTCTCTGATCACTTCTCTACCTACCCGGGCTCTTTGGTTGCAAGCAAAAGAAACTCACCTTGGCTAACTAGAAACATGGGGGAACTCGCAGGGTTGGAGGAGAAATGATAGAATCTGGGCTCAGGAAGGACAGGAACTAGTGAGCTCCAGGGCCTGGGAGCAGGAACCAGCGAACAGTCCTGGAGGGCCCAGCTGTTAGAGGCAAGGACCCTCAAAGACCCTCAACTCCCCTATGACTCGTCTTACACACGGACTTCGCCCTGGAAAATTCCAGCTATAGCTCTGAGAAGAATGCAGTCCATGACGTGCTGACCACGGGATGCTCCAGGGAGTGCTGACTGCAATTGTTCCCGACCACCTGCCAGGTTAGAGATGAGTAACCAGTCAAAAACAGGATACCGATAAGACGCTGATTGGGGCTGATTAACCCAGACCCAAGCCTCATCGTCAACACTCTATTTTTTTGCCTCTACGTCCTTGTTTTTGTATGCTTATAAAACCTACTAAGAATCTAAGTAAAGCAGACCTTGACAATCATTCGCTTGGTCTCGTTTCTTTCTCTCGCTCATCTCTTTCAGGCACGGTCCCCCTCGCCCC